AGCAAAGCCAGGAGATGGAGCTCTGCTCCCAAAGGTGATGTATCTAGACCTCAAATCTATGGCACCACTTGCTTTCTCCAAGTAGGAATGAGACATGACAGTGGGAGGCTGTGAGTCTCTCCACGTCCTGTTTTCTGAGTGGGAAGGGAACAGCAGAGCAGTCTGTGCCCTGTTCCCCACGCTGAGCTTTCCCACACTTGATTAACAGCTTTCCTGACTCACACCATTAGCTCACACGCAGCAGTCTCAGCTGTGGCCTCATGTTGGTACACACAATAACTATGCTGGTACTCATGATATATAACTCATGTTGGTACACACAATCCCACAAAACAGAATAAAAAGAGCATTTTTTACTAAGACTGCCAAGTGCTGTTTTGCAAACTCCAGACCTCAAAAGCTGGCAGTACCCTGATATTGAGTCTGCCTGGGTAACCTTAATTTGGCCTTCTTGGGTGTTGGTCTAGGACATAACCTTCATTTACATGAGCATTCATCTCTGCCCAAGAGATGAATCAAGCTGGTCAAACAGAGGATCCTGTTGTCTGGAGGATCCCTTGCCCCTTTGTTTCAGTGACCGTAGCTCATGTAATGAAAGAAGGATGAGGAAGAAAGAAAGGGGATGTGCTGTAGTGAAGACAACAGAACACTGCTTTGGAGAATTAGATTCTTTTCATGTCCCTGCTATAAAGTTTCTATGTGGCGTTTTGTCCATAAATCACTTTAGGCAACCTTTTCTCACATGTTCATTAACAGGATTACCCTCCTTTAATGGGTGTCTGAAGTACAAAGTTACTGAGCACTCACTGCTGCAGCTAAGGTGAATGAAAGCCACGACTGGAACAACTTAAAAAGCCACAATTCAAAATATCAATCTGAGATTGAAAATCCCAGAAAGCCTGGTGGCCTCTCATTTTAGTCTCAATATATGTGCCTTTATGTCAGTAAGATGGGGTCATGCCAAACACTGAAAACAAAATTGCCAAGGTTTATGAAGCAGTGCAGAAATAAGTCACTTTGAAAGGCTGAGCCATTTTTTTTTTGTGCTCAAGCTCTAAACCCTATGCAGTGTACTTACAGGACCAAGCAATGAGTGAAAAGGATAAAACAAAATATTGCATAACTGTCCTGCAATGAGCTTAGCTGGTGCTGTACCCAAACAAAGCAGAGACTCTGGGGAAAACTTGGTATGTGTTGACAATGATTATTTTCATAATGCATGGAATAAAAATTAATGTTTCTCACCTGAAGGTCTATCATCACATTCCAGGGTTTTCTCTACCTTTATGCCTTCCCTTTACTTTCTGTATTCTCTGTACATATTTTGTATACACTACCATACAGCTGTTATGAAATCCTCTTGTGACTGCAGGAAATATCTCCCAGGATTAACTGACTTTAACTGGCACATCCACAAGCTTTTAGAGCCATGACAAAGAGCTGAATAACTCAAAAGGTGTAAAATTGCTTCGTGTCTGAGGAGGATGGGAAAACTAAGCATCTATTTTCAGTCTGATCCTCCTATAAGATTTGCAAGGTTTGGGGTTATTTAAAAAAAAATATATTCTGTTGGCACCTGACAAAGCTTCATTTTACACCTCAGTTAGGAAGCTACTCATGAAAAGTCACTGTTTGGTCTCATTGAGCACATCTCTGTAAATTCACCTATAGGAAAACTGTCAGATGCCTAAAATGCACATTGAGGATATTTTGAACAGAAATGGGAGGAGTTGGTTAAAAACTTGATGCTCAGCCTTTATGTTCAAGCCAGGCTGTGGTTCAGGTCCCCAGTAGGATCTCACACCTCTGTGGCTGATGGGACCTGGTCAGCCTGCATTGCTCTGCCTGTAG